TGGAAATATTTCCAAATGTGCTTATAAAAGGTATAATGTTTGTGTAATGCTTGTTATAGGGACGCGGTGGCTCAGTGGCTAAGACTGAGGTTGTCGATCAGAAAGTTGGCAGTACAGCGGTTCGAATCTCTAGTACCGCGTAACAGAGTGAGCTCCCGTTACTTGTCCCAGCTTCTGCCAACCTAACAGTTCAAAAGCATGTAAAAATGCAAGTAGAAAAATAGGGACCACCTTTAGTAAGAAGGTAGCAGTGTTCTGTGCACCTTCAGCATTTAGTCATACCAGCCACATGACCATAGAGACGTCTTCAGACAGCGCTGGCTCTTCAGCTTAGAAATGGAGATGAGCACCGCCCCCTAGAGCAGGAAATGACTAGCACCATTTGCGGGGGAACCTTCACCTTTAATGTTTGGTCTCTCTTTCAGATTACAGCCGTATGCAACTTCTTCACTTACATTCGGTACATCCAGCAGGGACTGGTGAGACAAGATGGTAAGAATCCCCCTTTTTCTCTCTTTGAGATGTGGAAGTTGGGCTCTTCCTTTGTAGCTAATTCACAAGATGCACAACCAACTTACGTGATTATTAATGGGACTACCAAATCATTCCAAGCATTTTGGACATTTCATAAAGCAACATTCAAGAGAGAATTATTCCAACCCCTTTTGTAAATGTTACCCAAAGCAGATAGAAAAGAACAGTAAACTAGCTGAACTAATGTGTTCAGCTACATTACCTGAACTAATCTAGATAATCTAATGTGTAATGGATTGAAAAGTTCATGTGCATAAAATAAACCCCAAACTCCAGAAATAAGTTCAAGAAGGTACATGTGATGTTAAGATCCAAGTTGGAATTTGAACTTTGCAGAGTTTGGACCATTTTCAGGATAGCATATTAATTAAAAGTGGGTAGGGTTTCAACATCTAAATGCCTTCCATTCAATGAAAAGATAAATATGTAGTTGTCCTGGGTAGAAGGAATAACCTTGTGAACAGGAGGAAGAGCCCCAACTAAGATGCTTGGATAAAAGAAATCTGAATTCAGAGCAGAAATGTAATTTGAGAAAGTGGCGGGCTGATGGTGGTGGGAAAAGAAGATATCATACTGTTAAGCAAAGGACAATAGTAACCCCTCCCCCCTGCCTTTACCGTCGCCACCGGTACGCTGATTGCGGCCTGTCCGTGCATGAGCCTAAGGTGTGCTGTGCACATGCTTGACATGCACGGTGCATGCGCAATCCACCACCCCTGCGACATCCAACTGCTTGTCGGGGGGGCGTGCAGGCACTGCACACTGTGCACCTGTGCCTTTTAGGTGTGTCTTTTGGCATAAAAACAGCCTATAGAGCGCGGACGGGTGGGTGGGCCAAATGAGCCACAGTATCGGTATGCTCTCAACTGCTTCTGGCCACTATCAGCACAGCCGTACCGGGCTGTACCCACAGCAACCCACCATTGGTCCATAGAGAAATAGCCATTATTGTAGGGCAAGGATCTTGTTTTTGTGTTTGTGGAACACTGATGCTACACACATCAATTCCTCTACCTTCATATGAAGTGGCTTTTCCAAATGGGAGGGATAGGTTCCTCAAATGATTCTCATGTCTCCTTGCCATGGTGGCTGAGCTGATGAGTGTTGAGCTCAGGAGAACACTACATTGGGGAAGCTAGCATAGAGCAAACAAACATTCGCTTCTGCTACAACAATTTCTCATTTGCTTCTCTGCTTAATCTCTTTCTTTTCCTTTGACCCACAGTGGAATTGATGTATTGGGAAGTCATGAGGCTTCGGAAGGAAATGTCCATTGCTAAACTGGGCTTCTATCCCAGCGAGATGTAAATGGAAGATGATGATCGGGAAGGATTTTTACCTTCAGTTATTCTGTGGACACCCAGAAAAATCGATGACAGAATGTCTGCTCATATTCAAGATGGCACGATATTAATTGAACATGTAAGAAGCACAGGCTTTTCCTGTTGAGTGGCAGCTTCAGTTTCTTGAGAGCATCTACTCCAGGCATTTTTACGCAGTGAATATGAACTCTCTGGCACTTTGGAATGAGGCCATGTTGGAACTCCTTCCTTTTTTTTCTATGCATTCCTCCTCAGCCAGTATATAATATTCTACTTAAAAACCACTCTATATACGCACATATATAAATATATAAAAACATATTCCTGAGGCCTTGGCTGGACCTTGGGCTCATTATCTGCTTGCCACTCTGAGCTCTAAATGCTGTTGGTCATTGCTGCATAATGGATAGATAGATAAACAACTGCTCCAGCTTTCCAAAGGCATGCACCTGTTGAAAACAGCCTTCCTTGAGAGCTGCAAGGTGCAGAACCCTCCAGTATTTCTTAGGAGCATGAAGGAGGTAGCTGGGAAAAGTTTTGCTTTTGTTTCTGATTGTAGCTCAGGGTTTTCCTTTGAGGGATCCATAGACCCTTTGCCACACTCTGCACTCTGTATTAAAGCCATTCCTGATCAAAACCCTAGTAAAGATGGAAGGATGGGGAAATGATCTAACGGATAGCCACTCACAACTAATGGACTTCATTTTTATGCCACGGACGTTCTAGAACAAGCTCTTCCCACCTGAAATCATTTCTCCCAAGGCTTCTTCAACTGTGCTTGGTTGCATTCAACATACTAGTCCCGGATCCATTGCTATGATCTTCCTTAGGCCACATTTCTGCTGTAATCCTGGTTCTCATTTAGAGGTTTGCATCTGGCTAAGTATTTTCTATATTTCACACACTCACACACACACGCACACACACGCACACACACAAACACACACACACACACACACACA